TACTCTCGCTGCTAATTTACGTAGATTTTTTTCCTTTTTTCGTTTACTGGTTATAATATAAATAATTAGGACTGTAATAATATAAATAATAAAACTATTTTGACCGTAAAATAATAAAACTCTAATTGAAAATAATATTCCAAGATTGGAAAAAAGAATTAATTCATTAGGTTCAAATTTTCTGAAAATTATTTGAGACAATATTCGTTGCAAACATTTCTAGCGAAAGTACACTTAGGCAACTTTGTTTCCATCAGGAATTAAAAAAGCTTTACACTTTTCGGAAACTTTTCGTTTAAGAAGTAAGGTAATTATAAGTAAGTACGCTTAGACGTAAGCATACTCATTTCGTGACACAATACACTTTGTAATACTTTTCGGCAACTTTAAGTTCCCGTCAGAAATTAAAACATTCTACGTTTTCTGAAACTTCCCGTTACAGAAATAAGGCAATTATAAATAAGTACGCAAGGAAGCAAACATACTCATTTCTTATGTATACATATTAATAGACATATACATATTTACTTCGCGACGGAATTGCTTTCCTTTCTTCATACAAAATCTTTGGAAACTTTCCAAAAATGTCAGTGCCTCATGCAAAATTATCCATTAATTGTGATTTGTAGTGCTTCACAAATGTGACTCCCTTTGTTTATTTTCATTCTTATGCCTGACTTCTTTGAAATAAAGTTCATTTTTAAAAAAATTACTTTTCCTTTGTGTTGTTCTCAAATATGCCTTTTTCTTCAAGTTTTAGAACGTTTCATTAGATAGCAACATAATATACAGAAATGTACCTCGCTGCATAGAATTTTTTCTTCAAGTTTTAGAACGTTTCATCAGATAACAACATGATATACAGAAATGTACCTTGTTGCATAGAATTATATTATGGTGTTTTTGCAAGCTCTTCTGAACAGTTTTAAAACGTGTCTTATCATTCATTATACTGTCCCTAGACCTTCAATTTTAAGCATTTTCTGTCACTCTCAAAGTTTCACTTTTTCCCATTTTTCTTCTACTAGTTTCTTTAATAAAATAATTGAAAAGAACACAAGATGATAAAGCAAAGAGAATTAAGTCATTATCTTTAAATTTCTCAGAGAATTACTCCGGTCAATATTTGTTGCAAGCATATAGCGCGAAAGTAAACTTTGGCGACTTCAAGTTAGCATATACAATTAAAAGAATCTTACAGGTTTTCTAAAACTTTTCGTTCAAAAAATAACTTAATTAGAAATGAGTACACTTAGAAGTAAACGTTACGTAATAGCTTTCCTTTCTTCGTACAGAAAGCTTTGAAAACGTTCCAAAAATGTGAGTTCCTCATGCGCAATTATCCTATTGATTATAACTTGCAGTGCCTCAAAACTGCGACTATACATTTTTTTGTTTTCATTCAAACACCTGACACCTTTGAAGTAAAGTTCATTTCTTAGAAAAGCTAACTTTTCCTTCATATTGTTTTCAAATAGGTTATTTTTCAAGTTTCAGGACATTCCATTAAATAACAATACTTCACCTTGTTACATACAATCAAATTAAGGTGGTTTTAACTACTCTTCTGAATAATTTGAAAATTTTACTTTGCCGCAAGCCCTTCAGTTTTAAACATTTTCTATTCTTTCAAAGTTTTCTTTTTTCCAACTTTTCTTCTTTGAGTTTCTTTAATAAAATAATCGAAAAGGACACAGGATGATAAAGCAAAAAGAATTAAGTCATTAACTTTAAATTTTTCATGGAATTACTCCAGTCAATATTTGTTGCAAACATATCGGGCGAAAGTAAACTTTGGCGACTTCAAGTTTCCATATGCAATTAAAAAAGCCTTACAGGTTTTCTAAAACTTTTCGTTCAAAAAATAATGTAATTAGAAATGAGTACGCTTAGAAGTAAACGTTACGTAATAGCTTTCCTTTCTTCATACAGAAAGCTTTGGAAACGTTCCAAAAATGTCACTGCCTCATACGAAATTATCCCATTGATTGTGATTTGCAGTGCCTCAAAAATGCGACTCAACTTTTCCTTTTTTCTTTCTTACGTCTGACTTCTTTGGAGTGAAATTCATTTCTTAAAAGAAATAATAAAAAATACCAGCAATACTGTCGGGGAATTTCTTGCGATGCGGAATAAAGCGCTTATGATCTTTTCACAAAGCGAACCAAAATAGCGATATCTGCTAGTAATTTACATATTATCTAATCTCTATTTGAATTCGTATTTCACCCTCCTTTTGTTTGAACAGGAAGCGGGAACGTAATTATGGATCGCTGCTGTTTGACAAAGTTCTGTACAGTAAATGTACTGTAACGTTTACTCTCTGCATGGTTCATTTTCCTCGGTTATCCATTTTGCATATTACTTACAATTCAATTACTCATTTTGCTGTCGGCTTTAAGATGTTCAGTCAATGACAAATTGAATCAACTAGAAACGATTCCACTAAAGCATTTTCAGATAATACAATTCTGTATTTGAACGATGATAGATACACTGAATTAATGAAACTTATCGGAATTTGTCCATTCTTTGTAACTAACATTTCCTGCACAAAAGTTTGCTCAAGTATTTGAAATTAGAACTAATTATGTCATGAGAACAACTAATTTGTTCTTTTCTTATGTTAAGAAACTCTATGGTATGTTTTCGGAGATAATATGGATAAATGGTGTTTGTTTAATTTACTATGGGATCTTTTTTTTACTTTTTCAACATATTTATAATCATTTGATTAGTTTTTATTTTTCTAGAAAAATTTTTTATGTTTATTTAATTACATCTTGTTTTGAAATATTATGAACTTTTAATTCGAATAATGAATGCGTATTTCAAAATGTGTTATTACTTTCGTATCAAAATAAGCAAATGAATTTTTACTCTCACATATTAAGTTCTAGTTTTAAGCACCACACTTTGCTCAGTATGTATTGCTCAATATGTTTTTATGTATTGTAAAGCAATATGCTCATTTGCTGAATATGTTTTAAGTTTTTAAAGAGATTCTTAACACTATTATGAGTAGTTCAAGATTAATTTTGAATCTTAAAATAGTTTAAAAAAACATTTCTTGTTATTAAAAGTGAAGTAAATTCTCTAAAATAATTTTTCAAAATCTGGTGATAAATTCAATTAAAAGGGATGGATGCAATGTAGTGTAAATGCGAATTTTAGTACTGTGTTTGCCTAACTAAAGCATGCATTTTCTGTGAAATATCTAAAATTTTAACTCTCAAAGTAAACCCTGAAATGTCAAGCATTTTCTTGTTTTCAATCTCTTGTACTTTGACGAATTAGCCTTCTTAGTGTTTCATCATTTTAATCCTAATAAAGCACTAGAACTATCAATTCGTCAAGTTTTTTTTAATAAGTATTATCCTCTGATTTTTCCTTACTAGTTATCATTTAAAATAATTGTGCTTTATTCTCATAATTGAACTATTGTTTAGTAGATAATTCAGCAGGACACGCTTCACGAAGAAAAAAGATCTGGCAAAACTACCGTACTGTACTTAATTGACATTCCTGGTAATAAAAAAAAACTTAAGCTTGGTAATGAAAAACAAAATATACGGTATTTTATCCATTCATTTGGTAATTTTTCCTTTCAGACGGCAACGATCAACCAAAAATCCTGGTTTTCAAAATTATAGTGGTTATTACCACACATTTAGTGAAAATTATGAAAATTAAAAAGTAAAAATAACCGAATAAATGGCTTTTATGCGATAATCAAAGGTATCATCCTGAAAGGATTTAAATTCTCACGTTTAAATTATTTAAAATTTTGTAAAAATATATATATTACGTTTTTTGTTCTGTAATTATGAACTTAGCTTAAATATGAAGTTATACAAATAGCCAAATATTACAAGCTATCGCTTCTCTTTATTTTTTCCTCTTTCTTAGTTTCATTAAAATTCTTTTTAATTTATAAGATGTGTAACCAGTCAAATCACTCACTAACAAAATTACATAGTTTTGTGAAAAAATTATGTATTACCTACAAATTTCGTGTATCAAATTATATTACTTTCTTTTTCAGTAAAATATTTTTTTTTCAGTTTATCAAATTTTTCCTACTTTTTTCACAAATAAGATGCATTTACATTTCCATAATTAAGTTTAATAAAAACTTGAAATATTTATTGCGAAATAAAAAAAATCAGTTAAATTAAAAAAATTTAAATTACGATTTTTTTTTCAAATAATTCACATATTTTAAGAAAAAATATAATAAAACATATATAAATTTTTTTTAAAAGTTTAGGTCCTGTAAAAAATGTTAATATGATAAATAAAACATACTAAATCTTATCCATCTGTTTAGATCAGAAATCTAGAGATAAAATTTAAATATCTCATATCGAACCCTCGATCTCTCAGTTAAAAGGTGAATAGCTTGACCGTTGTTCCATGAATTCACGGAAGCTAGAAACTTTTATTATATATATAT